TTCGGGTCAACCCGAACCCGAAACGGGTGGAGTTCGGGTTGAACAAATTAACCCGTTTTAAAAATCGCATTGGGTTCGGGTTGACCCAGCAACCCAAAATTGACCCGAAAGTGACACGAAAACTCATATTTGACCTAAAAACCCGAGATTGGCCCGTTGACCCTTTTTTGACTAGATTTTGACCCGAAAATTAGCAATTTTAGGTCAACTTCGGGTCATTTGTGTCGGGTCGGGTTGACCCGGACCCGAATCGGGTCGGATTCGGGTCTAGAAACCTGATCCGTTTTTAAAAACGGGTCGGGTTTAGGTTGACTCAAATAGTGCCGGGTCAGTTCCGGGTTTGACCAGAACCCGACCCGCTGACCCAAATTGACACCCCTAAGCAATACCGAGTAATACCTAGCAAAATCGAGAAATACCGAGTCATCATGGGTCCGTTCTGGGTCAGGTTGTCGGGGCGCGCGGTAAATTGTGAAAACGTCTGGCGCGATTCTACTGGCGGCCGAACATAGAGATATGTCTTGTGACCGAACCAAATAAAAGTTCCTTTGGAGGGGTGGTTAATTTTACAGCTCCCCTCTTTTTTTCCTTTTAAAGAATTCCAAAAAAATTATTTTTGGGCCTAAAAAATTTCTAGAAAATTTTAGAATAATTTTAAAAAAATTTAAACAGATTTGGAGGCAAATTTTCCACCATTTTCAAACAATTTTCCCATTTCAACCTATAAATATGACCCTACGGCAAGGAAAAGATTGCTCATCTTCTTCTCTCTCTTCTCCCTCTTTCTTAAATTTGAGGTCATCCACTATTTTTTATAAGTGACATATCCTACTCAAAGTCATTGCATCTCTCTTATGTAGAAGTTAGAACTATTTCTCACCTTTTCTTCCTTACTTTTTTTTTACTTCAAAGGCTTTTCATTATTTTTTGTAGGTGGCTTCTCCTATTCGAATTTAGTGCCCCTCTTTAGTGTAGAATGAATTATTTTTCTTTTTTAATCTCTTTTCCTCTGACTTATTCTTACATTAGAGACATTCCATTGTATGAGATAGGTGATATCTCCTATCAAGCTTCAATGCCCCTTTTTGTGTAGAAGAATCACGATAAGAAATTGTTTTCTTAATATAAAACCCTTGACCATTTTTGTTGAAGTTATTTTTTGCTTGATAATATTAACTTGTACAAAAAATGTCGATGCAATTTACTTTTAGCTTATGGTGAAAGTAAATATACACTTGAACCTGATAAAAATTTTGCTTTGTAACTCCAATGATATTATATATGAAGTTAATATTATTGTATGAGCTCAATGTATAATTTTCATTTGAAATGAACTTGTACCCTAAAGGAAATTAAGTTATATATGCACCATTAAGACATGCTTTGATATATTGTTCCATATGCATTTTTGATGACTTTTAGCTTGCTAAGGTCGATCTTCATATGAGTGTTGATTTTATTAACCAATTACTTTTATGAAATCTTTTTAGAGAGAATGTTGTCCACTCAGGGTATTGCACGATGATGTTGACCTTTATAGAAGAGTCCAAAGAATCCACCAAAGATGTATAACATATTCAAAGTTATATGATAAAAACATTTATTGATGATGTTAATCTATATGAAAGAGGTCAAGAGAATCCACCAAGGCTGTATGACCTATCTGAGATTGTATGTCAGAGCTTTCCTTGATAACATTAACCTATACGAAAAAGATTGGATCGAATCCCCCTGGAATTGATCTTCCAATGATTGAGACACAATAAAGATAGTGTATTTCTCAAATCATAGATTTTAATATTTGATTGACATCCTCCTATGTTGTTTAATCTATCCAAAGTTGTATGGCAGAGCGTTATTTGATGACATTAACCTATGTGGAAGAGGTCGAATTGAATCTCCCTATGATCAATTTTATCTTGATTGGGAGGGGGCGAACATCACGTGTATCTTGAATTAAAAGTGACAAATGATATATCTTTAGACCGTTACTATATTTTTAAGGTCAAGATTAAAATCTTGCCTAAAGAGTAAAAGTCCAACTATGGACTATATAAAGCTTGAAATTTATTAGAAGCATCATTATATTTTTTAGAAGCTTTATGATCCCAATATATGATCCCAATATATCATCATGGATATTGAAAGAGTTGAAGGAATTTTATTGACCATAGCTGTAGTTATGATTTCCCCTCATTGTACATTTAATTCCCATAAAATTGATGCAGTAATAGCTGATGACACGATGTTGACTAAAACGACCTTTTGAGATTGGAACAAAAATTACCCCAAGTTAGGAACCATTTTCTCACAAATAGAGCCAAACTATTGTGTCATGAAATATTTATGGCTATAGAGAAATATAAATTTAACATCTTAGTTTTATTCAAAGATCTGACACAAAATCAAGTAAGATAGACAGTGTAGTATTCATAAGAGACCAAGATTTTTATGTGAAAAATTCTAAAAATGGGAAAAAAGCATGAGGCATGGCCCAATTTGAATGAATCCACTATTATTTGTAGTTGATTACAAATGAGACCCTTCATTGAGGAAAGGCCTTGGCTTGATGTAATAAATATACATCATATAAAATGAATTACATGATGGGACTTGAAAGAATTATTATTAATATGTTCGTTTCATTGGTAAAACCATAGTTAGTAGGGGACGGAGGTGGGAAATATCATAGTCTAGTGACAGTGATTGAAGGGATCATAGTCGACGTGCGATAGTGATAAGAAAAGACTGTTGTCTGGCAATTGAATTCGAAGTGATCACAATCTGGCTTTAGAGATTGGAAAGACCATATTTGACGGGTGACTGTGGTAATAAAGATCGTTGGCTGATAATATATTTCAGAAGGACTGCAACCGGCGTGCGATAGTGGCTAGAAAGATAGCTATATGGAGATAGAGGTTGGATGGATTGTAGGTTACGGGTGATAGTGGTCATAAAGATTATTGTCTAGTGAAGAAGGTCGGATGGACCGTAGTCAGCTAGTGACGAAGGTCGAAAGTCTGGTGATGGGTGAAAGTCCAATGATGGACAGAAGTCTGGCTTCAAATAGAACTCTAACAGAAATTCGATGAAGGTGGGAAGTCAGGCGTTGAGTAGAAATCTGGTGAAGGGCGGAAGTCCCAAGTCAGGTAGAAGACCGACGAATGTGTTGGTGGAATTTTAAAAGCTGGTTTTGAAAAATATTAGTTTTCTTTGGAGATTTTGAAGTTAATGTTTAATTCTAATTCTAAAGTCAAATCGACCCGTTAAAAAAAAATTATATCACCCCGAAGGATGAAAATAAAATTTCATAATGGTGTTCAAACTTGAAATTATGAAACTCATCTTGAATATTGTGACCGGATTCTAAAGAGAACTTCGTATGGCCCCGAGGGAACATAATGAAGTTCAACTAAATCAAATTATAATATTCAAGAAGTACGATCATTGAATTCACATCCAAAGCCTTATCGAAGAAGGATGTATCTCCCCGAAGGAAGATAACACGATTTAATGATAATCCTTCTAATGTAATAACAACGGTCATTTTTTTAACTTTTTTCCAAAGAAATCTAATAAGATTTTAGAAAAAATTAATTTTAAAATAAGGTGCGTGTGTGGTTCCAAATCTCCTACGAGCGCAAGCCCTCGTAGTTAATTATATCGTAGGGAGACAAAGTCCCCTACGAAAACTCTCGATTAAAGTAGTGACGAAATTTTGTTAGATCTTCTATGAGTGATACCAAAATGAACGAATTTTGAAAGATCAAAAGGGAATATGTCAAGATTGAGCAGTTATTAACAGAATTAAAGGAAGAGAGGTAGGGGACACTTTGAGATTCCAGAACCACCCGAAAGTGTCCCAACTTAATCTAAGTGTTGGGCTTTACGTTTTGGATTGAAATGATATTTAATTAGAGTTGAACATTTTATTAGAAATTTGGGATTAAATTCCTGAAGTTTAGGGTCTTATAATCAAATATCTGTCCGGATCCTAAATCTAATTTGGACACTGGACCACAGTCATCCGAACCTAATTAATGCAGTACAGAATCTAGACTTATCCCGGTCTGAATTGGGGAGCCAACTAACCACCTAATCGATTTAAAATATATGAATCTAGTCTTTTATGAAAGAGTGGTATGGATATTTTATTTAAGATTTTGGAGAGTTGGGGCCAACATATATAGATTTTCCTAATTGACCCATTTGACTTATGTAATTGGGTGCAAAAATGCTAAGAACTAATGCAATTAAATTTTGACTCTTTAAGTATGTTTCTCATGCAATGCGTGCTGGTTGACAACTTCAAATCAAATATGCTTGAAATTTTAAAAACAGGCTTAGAAAATAATTTTTTAGAAGACTGGACTTCCCCAGGTCCGGCACCTCGTCCTCATAGGTCAAACTATCCGGACTCTACACACAGGCGGGGAAGGGTCTAAAACAAGAAAAGAGTAATGCAGAAATATGCATGTGACCCCGGGGTCGATCCTCGGCTAATTCTCTAGATTCGTTATTTTTCTATATTATTTAGACTCACTAAAATTTTAGACTTTAGAGTTATGAATATAAAATTTTTCACACCCTCACGAGCCTCAATAGTCTAGGCAAAAATAAAAGCGGCACACAAATGCCAAAAAACTAAGAAAAGCAGACAATCATAAAGGCAATCAATTCAACACATCAAATATAAATTAATTTTATTTCTCACTTTTGACTTGATACAAATTCAAAGACATCACAACTATTTATATTAGTAGTACACTCTTAGGATTATGCTAACACATTTCAATCTAATATTACAAATGACTATCTAGAATATTCTCATATCTACTATCATAAATGATATTAAATGCATATTCTAGACTTTTCTAATGATTACTCCAATTTCTAAAGCCTTCTTAAATATATTACTGTATATTATGGGCTTTAAAAAACAACTCAAATATCAATGGGCCAAATTAAGTTTAATTTCCAACCGCTATAAACCATAGCCACTATGTATATCTTAGCTGATGCTTTGACTCGTATGAATCTATTCCGGCCTCCTTGAAATTCTCCATCTCCGCAGATTTTTCTGCAATCATTAGCAACTTTTTATAATTATTATACCGATTAATTACATATAATCCAATTATAACGAGGACTGAAAAATGCTTATACCTCTTAAGTTCTTCGAAATTGCACTGATGTCAATTGTATTATTTGCGGAGAGCTGATCCATAGCTCCAACGTCAAAAAATGATGTGTCCGCTTGCTTGCCATCGCCTTTAGATTTCGCCGGCGCTAAGTGGAAGAAATAGAGCGTTGTTGCTAAAACAGAACCAATGGTTGGTGATACAATATAGATCCAAATTTTGTTGAAATTCCAGGCTGCGATTGCTGGGCCAAGAGACCTCGCTGGATTCATTGAAGCTCCAGTGATTTTTCTGTGTTTTTCGTTCACGTATGCAGTTTTCATAAGAAGGAAAGATGGGAAGCTAGAGATAAATTATTATGAGCTTGGTGTAATCTTAATTACGCACCCGGCAAGCAGGATGAGGAAGAAGACAGTAGCTCCAACGGCCACCCCGCCTAGTTCCTTAAACTGACAAAAGAAAAAGTATGAGTAATCAAAAGAACAGAGAAGAATGAGTCAGAATAATTTCCAAACTATTTTTTTAGGACTATATATATTTTTTGATTACATGTTATAAATTAAATATATTCACTTTAGTTTATTGACTTGTAAAATATAATTCAAAATACTTTAATTGTTGGACTTTTTTAAGGATTTGAAGAGTTGGGTGAATAAACCAGTTTCGTTTGGGATGACTTTTTTACTGGTTGTATTAAAAAATTACTTTAAGAAGTAGTAAAAAAATCGTCTCAAACGAAGCCTAAATATATATTACCGCTCTGGAATCTGATCTGGAACTACAATTAGCAATGATATAGATGAATGTGATGATGGTCTCCAATACTGCCACCTTGAGATCACTTGCCGGCTTCGGCCCAACCGGCTGGGTTAGCATCACCTGTATGTCTTCTCCATCAAAAATCCATCTTAATGTTAAGCTCGCAACTGTGCATCCTAAGAACTCAGCCACAACATACATTGGAACCTTCAAACAAATGATATATTTATATAAGTAATCATATAATTATATATACATCAGATGAGATTAAACACGTTCATGAAACAAATTAAGGTTTCATTTGAGACGACTTTCTCATTGTTTCTTAAAGCAGTTTTTTAGTCTTTTTTTTTTTGGGACATTTAGGCCATTTAAGGCAAACTCACACACACAACGCATACACAAAGACTCGAACCCTGAACCTCTTAGTTGGAAGCCTAAGCTCTCAACCAATAGGCCAAGGAGAGTCCAAAAATTTTAATTATTATATTAAAAAGTTGCTTTAAGAAACATTGAAAAAGTCATCCTAAACGAAGCCTAAATCGACATACTCGCTTCCATGGGAATTGGCCAACAAGAGCATAAGCGAAGGTGACGGCCGGATTGATCTGAGCGCCTGAAATGTGCCCAAACGTGTATATGTTTGCTGCGACGAACGCACCCCAAGCAAGAGCAACGCCCACAAACGTTATTTCGCCTCTCTTTTCTATAAACAGCGTTCCACACCCAACGAAGATAAACGTGAACGTTGAAACAAACACTGCCAGCAGCTGTTCATTCATCTCTCCATGTTAAAAAGATCAGATTTTTAAAGCAAGTAATAGACTTTAGTTCTTCAACAGAAATCAGAGAGAGAGAGAGAGAGAGAATTGCCTCTTTGCTTTCTGGAAAGAACCCCTCATTGCTACAAGTAACGGGATCATTGCAACAGGCAACTTGTGAGTTTATTTTTATGGAAGGCATTGTGGAGATTTGATAAACTAACTAGTGTTGAACCTTGTCAGATTTATGGCCAGAAGTGTTATAAATAAACAAATTTGGCTATGCTAAGAGTTTGCCAACTATTATTATTTCTTTTTTGTGCTTTCTTATGCGGGCAGGCGGACAGGAATTAAGATTTCCCGTGGAAAGAGACCGGGTCTCTAGTAACCGGCTTTCCCAAGGCGAATAAATATAGATTATAGATGTATATATATAATCTTAATAACTTTCAAATTTTTATTTAACTATTTGTTTTATTTTCTCTTTTTTTAAGTTTTCTTTTTTTATTTTTTAAATGTACTATATATTAACCTTTATAACATTGTTTTGAAAATCGGACCGGACCGGCCGGTTTGACCGGTTCAACCGTGAACCGGTCTATCAGCCGGTTCGATCCTCCCTAAGAATCGGTCTAACAACGAACCGGCCAAAACCGGTTTGAACCGCCGGTTGAACCGGCCGCCGGTTGAACCGGCCGACCGTTGAACCGGTCCGTTTTTTAAAAACCGGCCGGTTCAACTAATAATATATTTAAATATTTTATTTTTATATAAAATGTTTAATTAATATTAAATTAATTTAAATACTTATTTATAACATAAAAAGGAAAACTTAAAAAGAGAAAAATAGATAGTTAAATTAATAATTTATTTGAACAAATTTTTTATTTATATAATATGTATTATTTATATAATATATTTTTAAAAAATAAAACTTAAAAAAAAAAAGCAAAGAACCTTCGTTAGAGCTAACGACTTGATTTTTTTATTTCTGTTTTTATAAATAATTATTTTTTGTTATTATTATTATTATTATTATTATATATATAGTCAAAATGAGAGCTGACGAATAGTCAGTGTCAAGTCATTAAGTTAGGTCATTGACCCGATCCAAGTCACATGCTCGATCTACATAACTGGCCAAATGGGTGCCAAATCAACAATTCAAGTCGCATACTCAATTCATATTAGCCGATCAAATGGGTGCCGATAAGGTTGGGCATCAAAAACCGGGGCGGAACCCCTCATGGCTAAATGGGGGCAATTGGGCTTTCGCTCCAAAAAAAAATATTATTATACTCCTATTGTAAGATTATTTTTTAGAATCAGTTTTTTAACAAGGGTTTGAAAGCAACATTGCCCCCCAACTAAAAATAGATTAAAATACTATATTCATTTTAGGCAATTTACCCTCACCAAGCCTCAATAATAAAAAATACATTGTGTAATGTAATTATCATGTGTTTTAGGTTCGAATGATGAATCAAACACTAAATAGTTAAAAACAAAAATTTGTTCCCGGAAAATCCCACCGCAAGGCGCGCTGCCCTGAACTCATCTTGAACCTCGTGACCTGAACCAGGCAGGGTCGAACCCGTCAGGCGGGCGCTGCCAACGCCTTGAACCCCGACATATATGCGACAGCTTACTATATTGTCTGTATTTGCCCCCCTAAAATTTATGGCTGCGTTTCGCCCCTGGGTCATCAGCTCACCAAGGCTAGTTTGTTTAACTCATTAATTTTTTTTAATTGGGTTTTGTTTTTGCCTAATTATTTATTAAACCATTTTCTTTTAAAAATTTGTCCCTATTGAAATTCCAAGCTATAGAACTTGGCTGGAAATTCTTGCCGTCCCAAAAGGGTCTCCAAAGGAGAAATTTTGTGATGGGTATAATAAATAAATAGATCAAATATTATTATTATATTATCTTATTTTTAAAAGTAAATTTAACAATTATAAAATTCATTCTTGATAATTCATCAAAAATCA